GGTTTGTTAGGCATTTGCAATATACGCCCACCCATCCACCCACCATCAATTTGTTTTTGCCACCTGCCATCTGTCTTATGTAACCATACCAAACATAACATATCATACTAAATGGAGTGTCTCGGATTTATGTACAGAAGAATACGAAATGCTCTGAGTCCAGGTTGGCATCCTTTATCCCCTATTAAAGCTTTTATTAATCTCTGCCCATGAAACTTCAATTGCCAAACAACTAGCAGCTGCTCTGTCAATATAAGCTTTATTGCATGCACCTATAGCCCATAACCATATAATTTACCCAAATGATGATGATTTTGTATTCTTCAAGGTAATTATCATGTAGTTATCGCATCTTATACAATGGTGCATCACACGTTAGCCTACCCTATAGGCTACCTCATAATTTCGCAGATATGATGTGTGACATAATATTATGTTAACTTGAGGTGCTTATACCATTATTTCCCATTATAGTCAATGCTTGACTTGGCGCAGGAGCTCACCGGAGCTGAGTACTGGCACCTCAACTTTTCTACTGCTTGAGCTCCTGTTCCTCTTTCAGAATATTAGCTCAAAAGTATTGTGGAGCTCCTGCACATAAATGTTAACAGTACCGGCACCCAATATGAGTACCGGCACCTATTTCAATCCAAGTCCAGCACTGATGACAGCCTATATGTCTATACTGTAGGCTATGTAGACTACAGCTCCCCTTTCCGGTGCCCATGCTCCTGCGTCCATCTCTGCGTAGTTTGGTGCTCACATCGTCTTTCTCTCTCCCTCAACTTCTCTCTCTCCCTTCCTCTCCTGTCTCTCCCGCCCTCCCTTCTACACACTCACACGCACAAATACATACTCTCCCCCGCTCCCCCCCAACGCTAGGTAAGATTGGTGCAATGACCTTCATTTCAGCTACTGGATGACAAGAGCAGGATTGCTCTAAAACCACAAGTTTTTTCATCAGTGTGCCTATGGTTCCATTTATCTGTCCAATATTTCGATCTGAACACAGATAACTGCCTGAACGATGATCTCTGAGATTTAAACCAACACCTATTATTTGATAATGTAACATTTGCTAGTCATATTGCTTGAATAGAGAATAGCACATACTATATATCAATGGTTTCATGTTTACCATTTCAGTTTTAGGTTACTCTATGACAATGAAACTAGAAAACACTTCATAATCATCAAACAGTGTCTACTGGCTTTGATGACATTCCTAATGCATGATATCAGTGCATGCATGTTGTTTTGGAATTTCTTTGACTCAGTGTTCATGTAATGCTTTGGAACTTAAGACACAGGAGCACATATGGACAACTTGTTTTCAAATCAAGATTTTAATTTGCTAGCTTGCTGCCTACTGGCATTACACAACATTCATCAAAAGTGCATTTGGAAAACACACACACACAGTTGCCACAGCAACTGAACTGACTCTCACCATTGGTCGCCAAAACAAAGGGCAGGGTAAGAGGCAGTAGTGCTTTATAATGTGAATAATTAGGACAAACAAGTCAGCTCTCATAGAAAGACACAAAGGGGGCAAACTTGGATGAAAACAGGCATATTTAATGGTTGCCAAAAGCTGAGTGACAAGTCCCACAACCCATCACAAGTCGGTCTAAGAGCTCATGTAGTTTTGGGCTGTGTTGATTTTCCTCATCAGTTCCCTTTTTCTTGTAGTGTCACGTGGATTTGTAAAACGAGAGTCAAACGGCCACAGAGTTTAAGGATGGTGCCCTGCATGTGCCTGCCTTGGCTTGCACATGGCACGCAATTGAAAAGAAACAGCTTGAGCCATTTCTTTTACTTGATGGCCCCGAGAACAAAGTGTTTTTGCTTCCTTCATGTTTTTGCTTTTGCTGTGAAAGTCAGCAGAAAGACAGCAATCTTGCAGAGAAAGGAAAAATGGGGACACGAAGTAGAAATGACCTCCCCTCCCTCGTTCACCCCCACCATTCCCACCCTCCTCCTCCCCTACTCCTCTAGGGCTTCTATCACAGATGGTTAAGTTGCAGCTTGCTTACTCTCATCTTCTCCTTCTCCAACCTCTGCACATAAATAATCAAAGTGATAGAAGATTTGGGGATTTGTTTGGTCACCTGCGGCAGCTGTGTACTTAATTTGCTGCGTTTGATCTTTTCAAAAGAACCAAGGAGATGTCCCTGTGTTCAAACAGTTCATATACATATTACAGGCAGTGTAGAATAGAGCAAATAACAATCTGTTTTGGCTGTGTGGCAATATACTATGATTAGACCCAGTTTAGAGTAGTCAGGGCTTGACAGCCACAGGTATATACACTGCTGGCAGAAGACTTGTCAACTGATCTATGATTGCCTTCAAAACAACCACATACGTACAAGGGGTAATGGTTTCTGTGGCAGCAATAGAACCCCCCCCACACACACACACACACACACACACACACACACCCTTACTTTCTCACAGCTCTCTCCATTTCCATAAGTCATGCAAACCCATGGCCCTTCTGCCTTAAGCGATTCTTCTATCTCTGCAGATCTCCTGTGAAGTCTTGAATCATTGTACAACTTCAACATAGATATGCTGTACACATTCCTAAGTGCACATCTACGGAGAGAAACAGGAGTTTTTATCACTGGGGTGTTAGTGTTGATGGATACATGGTGTTATGCAAAGCACATCATCAGCTCTCTGATGAAAAGTGCCACTTGAAAACTGTGCATCACAGCACAAACAGTCAGAGAGCACCTGATGGTAATTTAGCTCTTTCCCCTCTTCTGCAATCTGCACAAAAAATTCATAACAGTTGTTTCCATAACTACCAACTGATTACGCGTAGGCTGCCTGCTTTTGCAGAAATGTTGTTGATGACAGCGAGATAGCGAAAGAGAGAGAGAGAGGGAGAGAGGGAGCGATAAAGACAAAGAGAGAGAGAGAGAGAAAGAGAGAGAGGGGCTGTAAATGTGACAGCCGGACATTTTTATTTTCTCTCCTCAGTCCTCGCCCTATTTGAAGCCCATTCATGGAGCTTCCGGCTGGTTACTGGGAGGCGGAGGGAGAAGAGAGAGCGAGAAACATACTCCCACACAAAGCATAGGTCTACCTCAGAGGGAGGGTATAGGAAGGAGGCTGTTGCAGAGCAAGGGATGGGCAAATTAATGATATGGTCTATCTTTGAAGGATGCAGGTGCACCGCTACTGAGAGAAGGAAGGAAGAGGCAATGTTGAAGTTGCATTGCAATATTTTTTGAATATCATTCTGCACCTGGTTGTACCTCCTGCTCCTCCATCCACCCAATAACTTAGCCAAGGCTTTGAACCCCCTTGCAGACTTACTCATAATATTTTATTATTCGTGAATTACTCTGCATCAGTTGGTGGATTAATAATGTTTTAGGGCTTCTTCCGACGTTAGTCACAAGCTCAAGAAGACTGGGCTGCCATAGCGACATGTAGCAGGAAGAATAGCCTTGCCCTACATGCGTGAGAAAGTGTTGCTGAGCAACAGTCTTCTTCTCTCCTTATTCCCCCCTTAGGCCCAAGGAACGCCCCAAACCCAAGTCACCATAACACCTAGACAATGTGCAACCTCATCAAGTATAAGGTGCCACGTGAAGAGTCCAGTACAGGGACACTGATCTTGTGTGCTCTTTTCTCCAGGGCCAGATAGGGTTATTCATATATATGACTTGACAGATACAGATGTAGGATCTTAATTTGAGAAAGTTTGCTACAGAAGGAAAATAATCCTGCAGCAACAGGAAATGGGAATTATTATGTGGATTATAATTAATGGACATTTTTGTAGGGGTTGATACAATTTTCGTAAGGGATAATCAAGTCTGAAATTATTAAATGGGAATAACAAACTTCAGAAGCCTATTTAAACCTCAAATACACTACACGTTTTAAATGTCCTGCATTGCAGGAACGTTCTCCTGCAACAGGGTGATCAAATTAAGATATCGCATCTCCACAGGGCATTGTAGTGCAGCAACTACATACTGTATATGTTGGTTTATAGGGTGGGAAAAGCAATGTTGCATGAGTGTCATCCCAATGCACCCCACAGCTGCATATTCTAGTGTGGGAACTGGCAATCGAATAGACCCTCCCTTCAGTCTGCCCTGAATGGGGCTCCTGATAACCAAGGCTTCTTCATTTTTTAGGGAATGTAATAGGCAAGGGTCAAACGAAGTCCATGCAACTTGTGGAGCTGTAAGTGAGATCAATGACTTTACTTTACCATGGTACCTTTACTTCTCAGATTCCTGGGCATTGTAGAGTATAATTGAATATAAGTGCTGTCTGCGGTTCCCAGTGGCAACACGCCAGCACAGACGTCAGCCTGACGCACTCTGGTTAGCATTTAGCGGCACATTCCCGTGTGTGGGAGGAAAGAGAGAAAGAGAGCGAGAGATTGAGAGAGAGCGGAGGCTAGTCTGCTGCAAAGGACTGTAATTGCAGGTCCACACACTGTTATTATACTCTGGACTTGTTCACTGGAGAGATCTGCTGCTGCACAGTAATGCTATTCACAGGCTCAACACTCAAGTGGGGATAGATGTAATCAGGGGACCGGGATTTTTTTAATTTATACAGGTTTGTCAATTAAGTCAATTAAGACCAAATTCTTACTAACAATGATGACCTGTGCAGGTTGCAATTAGTATAATCATGTATATTATAAGTTAGTTCTGAATAATTCCTGATTTCACCATAGGGCCGAGGTACCTATTGGTCGGTTCTGATCAGAGAATTGTTACACTTAGTGACCTGTCATGTTTCTTTTTTTGTCTTCCCTTTGTCCAACAGACATATCTTTGACACATGGCTGTCTGTCTGTCCCACTGAAGCCTTTGAACCCCATCCAATTCCTCAGAGTGTAAACCAACAAGTTCCAAGCAACTGAAGTCACATCGCAACAAATTGTATAAATAGAGGAGAGAGAAAAGAGTGAAATCAATTTGAGTCCCCTTGAAACATCCTCTTGAAGCGACCACACAATGGCGTGGTCACCTCCCCGGTCGGGGCCCTTAGTGGCCCTTGTGGCCCTCCTTTTCCTCGGTTTGACTTCCAGCATCCCATCTGGCCCAGCCTCTGATACCTGCGCCACCCTGGAGCAGAGCCGCTTCTTCGGGCTGTTCTCTTCGACCGCCAACCTGCCCTCCACACCGTGCTCCTGGACCCTGCAGAACCCAGACCCTCGCCGCTACACCGTCTACATGAAGATCACCAAGCCCACCGACTCCTGCCTGCCCCGCCAGGTCAAGACCTTCCAGTTCGACTCCTTCATCGAGACCTCTCGCACCTACCTGGGTATGGAGAGCTTTGATGAAGTCGTCCGATTGTGCGACGCTTCAACGTCTGTAACCTACCTGGAGTCCAGCAAGCAGTTCCTGCAGCTCCGTAAGGTGGCGCCAAGACACAACCTGGAGATTGTGGAGGGAGACAGCAATGGTGAGTTCAAGGCCGAGTTCCTGGTGGTGGGCAAGAGGAACCCCAGTATGCCAGCGTGTCAGAAGCTGTGCCAGTGGCTGGATAATTGTTTGTCCACCAGCACCCATCCCAACCCCTGTGGCATCATGAACACCCCTTGCCAGTGCTGGGAGACCCCTGTCAGGAAGCCAGGTGGCTGCTACCGTGGAGGCATCTACCAGGAGGAGTGCATCCCAACTCCCAGAGACACTGGACGTGACATTGTACGCGACGCCGAGATCATAAGTGAGTAGAGTTACCACCACCTAACCTGCTTATTGTGTAATGCTCAATGTCCACGACTGTTATTGTGTAATGCTCAATGTCCACGACTGTTTTTGTTATCCCATCCACTAGAGTCTAGACTATATCTCAGTCTGGCTGATTGGAGTCATGTTCCCTTGGAAGCACAGCCTCCCCATGCTGACCCCAACTAATCAACCCTACCTCAAACTACCTCACACACCCCTCCCCCTGTTAATGATCTAAATTCTAGAGGGAAAGAGAACGTGGGGTTCTGATGAAGATGTTCCCTTTGCTGCACCAGTATCATAAGGCATAAATGAAGGGTATTAAGAAGAGACTGTGTGGCTCCTTAAGGGCTAAGTGGTCAGATCGCTCCCACTGCAGACAGTGTAGTGCCAATTCGTTTTCATGGACTGCGGACAAGTTTGCTGGCTCTTTGCTGGGGGATTGAGGGATGCGAGAGGCACACACACAGTGTACACAAAGCCCTCACAGTTAGCTGGCACAGGAAATCGAAGCCAAGCACTTGCAGTAACCGTAGCAACGCACCAGCCTTGCACACCGTGCTTTCCATGGCGCTGGAAAGCAAACGTTCATTTCAAATGAAAACCTTTTATCTTGCATGGCTTCTCACAAAGAGCTGTCCTTGTGCATTTCTCCTCAGCTCCCTGACAGGCACAGTAATGACCAGCTTCCAGTTTTTACATCGAAATCCTTGAGAACACTACCTGAAAAACCATTTACATTCTTACTGAACTGTAGCAATTTCTATATCTCCATTTCTGAGCAGTAGGGCTTTTTAAGAAAGAGTTAAGCTCCATCCACATTTATATACCATTGTCTTTGGACTTGTGTATCATGCCATGTGCCTCTTCTTTCTCTCTCCTGCAGAGAGCTGGAGTGGATGGGGCCGTTGGTCTGAGTGCAGTATGGAGTGCGGGGGTGGAGTCCAGGTGCGCAGCCGAGCTTGTCATCCAGAGGATAGTGTGTGTGAAGGCGTGGTCGAAGAGGGGCGGGTCTGCAACCCTCATCCCTGCATTGGTGAGTCTACCTGTCAATCTAGCTGTCTGTTTGTTTTCTTGTAAGTCTGTAATGTCCAACCTACTGTCTGTCTTTGTGTTGATGTGTTTGGAAGCAGCTTGAGTTTCAGCTCACTAATCATCCTTTACCTCCACAGGTCAAGTGCGCGCCCGTAGCCAAGCCCTGGCTTCCATTGTTGGCCTGAAAAGAGAAAACGCTGATGTTCCTAGCACTGGAGTCGTGGCCCTTCAAACAGGTGAGACCCACATTCTGGGGATAAAGGATAACCGGTAGATAATTTGCTTGTTTGTGATGTATAGTGGTACGGCTGCCAGACCTTTAACGCTGACTCTTTGATCCTGACCTTTGTAGTGGACTCTGCTGCGGTTGCAGATGAGTGGTCCCCCTGGAGTGTGTGTTCAGTGAGCTGTGGAGAGGGCTGGCAGGCCCGCACCCGTTTCTGTGTTACCTCCTCCTACAGCACCCAATGCACCGGCCCCCTCCGCGAGAACCGCCCCTGCAACAACACCATGGTCTGCCCCGGTAAGTGGTGGCTCATTTACCAGGGCGTGTTTAGGGTGGTGTTTAGGGTGTCTGTGTGTATGTGTGTGTGTGTGTGTGTGTGTGTGTGTGTGTGTGTGTGTGTCTCTAGACAGGTTGCCAACTATGGTAAAGATCACAACTCCACCTAGTGGATAGCTCATGAAATTGTCCCCTCCCTGAACTCACAGTCAATACCCAAAGACCCTACAACTCAGTTACCTACGAATAATGCATATTCATTTTGAGGGCAAATAAACCATAACTGTAAAAATGTATGTTTGGTGACATGGTCTGAATTTTTCCTCTTGTTTTCAGTTGATGGAGCTTGGGACGAGTGGTCCCCATGGAGCCTGTGCTCGTCCACCTGCGGCCGTGGTTACCGTGACCGCACCCGCACCTGCAAGCAGCCCCAGAACGGAGGAGAACCCTGCAAGGGACCTATCAAACAGACCAAGTTCTGCAACATCGCAGTCTGCCCAGGTTAGCCTTATTACTTACTCATGATATATGCCACTTAGCTGACTCTTTTATCCAAAGCAACTTACAACAGTGAGTGCATACATTTAAGTATATGTGACCCTAGCCGGAATTGAACTCACAACCCTAACTCAGCCACACAGGACCACTTACTTACTCATCTTAATGAGCATATATTTGTCAATGGGTTAGCTTTGTCACTGACCCCTGTGGGAAGAACTCTGACTGACTAAGATACTTTCATTTTCAAGGCTTCTCTCTTTCCTCCTTCCTGACTTCCTACCCATTCTAACTCACATCTAAATCCTTTAGTAGTGGTGGTTATCATGGGGAGTAAAGTGTTGGTTTGGCATCACATCTGACGTATTGTATCTGCAGAACAAATGCCTGCAGGACTTAGTCATGGACTATACAGGCAGTGAGTCATACACTCCTCATGGTCATCCTCACCACACACACAGTTCTCTCTCTGGTGATACATACACACCGCCCACTGACAGTGAATGGTTAGTCCTCTTCTCTCTCACCTGAATATTTAGTCAATCTGGTACTTAGATGTTTTTGTAATTATAATAACAATGGCTTTTTATTTGCAATTCCATTGTTCACTTAGCACATAACTGATTTTCTGCCGCTCCTCAATACAACTGAGTTAATTAATTGAATGTGCCTGGCCATGTAGTTTCATACTGTGGACAGCAGGTGGCAACATGCACCACCAAGAGAAGACGGCTCGAAATGACTGTCATTACCTTGGGAAAATCAAATTTCTAACGCAAAAAACACATTTCACTTTTTGAGGACAATTCATCTTTAATAATCTTTTTGGCACTTAAAATATTGATTTGCCTTCTAAAAGAACAATTATAGAATAGCCAGACTCAAAAATGTCATTATCCTTTTTTGGTCTCTTTGCTATCCATTGATAATTATCATGATTAATTAAATTTCTGACACATTTTCTTGCCATTTGGAAGACTGTTATTTTATAAATGAAATTTATGAAATTCAAAGCTGACTTTTGTTTTTATTTCAAACTGTCTTTTCATGTATTTTCACCAGGTCAATTTTCCTCCTTGCCCACCCAAGAATAGACAAAGAGGACAGTTCTTAGAGCAGCATTAAAAGTAAAGTGTTGCGCTGTATCAAGTCCCCCATCCATTCCCATTAGAACAAAACACTAGACTTGGCAGTGAGAAAAAAGGCTCCTGCTCACCCATGTAGGCTGAAGGGATCACTTAATGAGGTGGAACTCTGGGAGCGATGGAATCTGATGTATTCCAAAAAATCTTAATTGGGCCTGCCTTCCTGTGTTGGGAAACATTGGCTGCATCTCAAATGGCACCCTATTCCCTATATGGTGCACTACTTTTGACCAGAGCCCATAGAATAGCTATAGGGCTCTGGTCAAAAGTAGTGCACTATGTAGGGAATAGGGTGCCAGTTGGGACGTATCCATTAGAAAAATAGGCCCATCATCTTTCTTCCCATACGACACATAGTAGTAGGCCTATGTTGACCTGCATTGAGCGAGCGGACATTTTTCTCCCTTTAAATACAGTACACTTGATGAGGCTTTCCAGCGACTGGAGGTTTTGTGTGTCGTTTGAGTATAGGCAATTGGTTGGGGAGGCATTTAGAGTTAGAGACACCTGCAGTGGTGCATGAAGGACAAACGAGAACAGAATTTGGGCCTTCACTACTACTCAGTCTCAAAGTAGAACATGTTAAAATGTTAATAGCATCTCTGTGCCATGATGATTACTGGCCCGAGGCTTGATGGTGTCCTAATTCTCCACCTCCCTCTCTGGTTCCCTCTAGTGGACGGTGCCTGGAATGAATGGTCCGGTTGGACCACCTGCTCTGCCTCTTGCTCCAATGGCACCAAGCAGAGGACACGTGAATGCAACGGACCATCCTACGGAGGCTCGGAGTGCCGTGGTGATTGGCGTGAGACCAACAACTGCTTCCTGAAAGATTGCCCAGGTAGATAGCTAGCACCACCAAGATTGGAATGGAGACCTCTTTTGTCATAATAAGTTGTCAAGTACCCAGTTCCAGGCATAGTCTATGGGTAAAAGGCCAGTATTGGGTATTGTGGCTATTGGTCAGTCTGTTGAAGGTCAGGGGATAACATTTGTTTTGTCTCTCTCTAGTTGACGGACGCTGGTTATCATGGAGCTCATGGGGAAGCTGCAGTAAGACCTGTGGGGGAGGAAGCAAGCAGAGACAGAGGATGTGTGAAGGACCTTACTTTGGTGGAGAGCCTTGCCCTGGAGACAGAGGGGAGCTGAGACGCTGCAACGAGAAAAGATGCCCAGGTCAGTGAGTCAAAACAAACATGGCTGACATGTGGGATGCAATACAATTCAGTGGTTCAACACAAAACAATAGTATTCAAATACAACTTGACCACAGAAAACCAAGCAATACTTTGATTCAATGCAACAAAATATGCAACCAAGTCTCCCTCTCTTCTCTTCAGAACCCCATGAGATCTGTCAGGAGGAGACCGATGGTGATGTTGTGTGGAAGAGAACCCCAGCAGGAGACATGGCTGCCGTGACCTGCCCTACAGATTCCACAGGTCAGTACATTAACACATGTAGCCCATTATTCTTATAAGACATACATGTACTTCACATGTTTAAGTAATGTTATCATCCCTGTGTATGATCATGCTGACCTCCAGTACTCTGTAATACACACAGGCTTGATCTTGCGCCGATGCACCCTTGGCGCTGTAGGCCTTGCTTATTGGGAGAACCCGACCTACATCAAGTGCATCTCCAAGAACTACCAGGACATTTCCACATTGGTAAGTTGACTATACCAGAAAGGAGTGTCTGGAGATCTTCCAACAAACCTGCTAGTTATGATCATCTATTGTTGGATCACACAAATAGTAGTCAATCCTTTCAACTCTGAAGATGTTGCCCTTAAAGTCATAACTACAAACCCTTAGAGATGGGGCTCATTACAATGATAGATACCTAATATGAAGACAGTTCAAAACACATCTCCACCACCTATGATTTCCCGGCAGTGTACTCAAGCTACAGTGTATCAGTACACTAGCTAGAGTATCAAACTGCTAATCAACCCAGAGCCCTCAAACTCAATTCTGGAACACAAAGCCAGTTCCACTGTATTTTTTAATTGTTCCCCTCTAATCAGGGACTGGTTAAGACCTGAGACACCAGGTGCTTGCAATTAAATATCAGGTAGAACAGAAAACCAGTAGGCCCCAGACCTCGTAGGGTAAGAGTTGAATACCCCTGACCTAGAGTGTGACCTCTCTACTTACCCTCCCTTCCTATAGGCCCAGGATGGTGTTGATAAGGCTAAGAAGGGCTTGATGACTGATGGGATTTCTGAGGTGATCTCCCGACTGAGGGCCACCTCTGATGAGGGGACCAAGTACAGTGGAGACCTGCTGTCCATCATGGATGTCCTCAGGAACACCACTGAGATCTACAAAGGAGCTGGATATAGCCTGAGCAATGCTGATGTGGAGGTCAGTCAGAAATACTGTGTTGCTTTTGAATTAAGCATTGAAAATAAAATTGCAATGTGTATTGTCACTCACACAGTGTAAGTTATTCATTTTGCCATGTGTATGCCCTAACACTCCTCCAGCAAAGTATGATTTGGCCTTTATTTGATCAAGTCTAATACTATCGCTCATATCTCCTCTTCTACAGAACTATGCACAGACAATCAGCAACTTACTGAAGGAGGAACATCATGACAAATGGGAGGAGGCACAGCTGGTGAGTGACAAGTTCTGACAGCAGAGTATTTATGAAATGCAACATATTTTTACGTGTTAGTGTTTGTGTGTATGACTGTGTAACTGAGAAAAAGAGTGGAGGAGAAGGTTTTTCTTCCTTTGTCAGGTTTTTGTAACTAAGTGTGAGTGGAGGAGAAAGTTTGGTCTGTGTTGATGTCAAGTTGTTGTAAGCGAATGGGGGGAAATAGTGGTAACTGGTGATACCTCATTATCACCCCAAAAACCCCATTCAGTTTCCTACCATGGAAGGAATAGACACCATAGTAAGAACAGGACACTCAGAGAAAGAATGGGCAAAAATGTGAGAATATTGATTAAGAAAGGAACAGGGCATGTGTCGTTTCAATCCACACCCCCTTGACTTCCCTCACACCCCCCCCCCCCCCCCCCCCCCCCATACTGAAGATAGTGTTAGGAGCATGTTTTTCAATCCATTAAGGATAGCACACCAGCATACTATCTGACTCATGTGTGTCTCACAGGGACCATTACATATAGGGATAAGTAGAAATCCATGTGACTCGTTTTTAGCATCTTGTGCTCTGAATCAGATGTGCCTCTCGAGAATTGTAAGGAAGCCTCTTGGCGTTTTTTATCATTTGTCATGACATTTTGCTATATGTTGATTTTGTTACTTGAAAACCCTGTTCAAGTTAACTATGGCCTCCAGCCTCATGGATAGGATTAGTCAGGTTGTTATTGTAATAGAGATTGTGTTCTCAATAACCTACCTGGTTAGATAAAGGTAATACATATATTAGTATGGAAAACTCATGTCACTAATAAAAAGGCCCCACATTCAGGGAATAACCATTTGCTTGTCAAATTGAAGATGAACTGATTACGAATTAGCAGTGTGTCAGTTAGGAGAGAGTTAACGCTCGGGGCAGAGAGAAAGAGCAAGGCAGGCAGGGAGAATCACAACGCCCACCCTCCAATCTGTGCGTCTCCATACCAACCCACAGACCATGGTCGTTGTAAAGAAGGGACACATATACAGACACTGTACAATATGTATTACACAGATATACACACACCTTTTCGCCCACATCGCTACAGTTCTGCGTCAGAGAGACGCAAGAGCCCTCCCTCCCATCCACAGAGAACAGAGAGAAAAAGAGGAGAGTGAATCAACAGCCTGCTGCCTGCTGCCCATATATGGCCCTCCGGAAGTTAGGAAGCTCCAATGTTGATGATAGTGCTTTTCACTGCTCAGGAACATTAGTATTGTGAAAGAATAAGATACAGTATGAAAGCCATTGCATATACAGTGCGGTATAAGGCCTATACATTCATTGTTCCTCTTTAAGCACAGCATAGATAAGCAATGCTATGAAAAACGAATAGTCTCCCAGCCGGCAAAACTGGCATTGTAATAATGACGCAATTTCAATCAGATAACAACAAGTTCTGGTTGTAAATGCGTTGTAATGACGTTAATTCAAACAACTTCAAACAATCCGTGGATGTTTAAGATTTTCCTTTATATAAATGTAACGTTATGGTCTCCCCTCCTTTCTTTCTTTCTTCTCTCTCCCTCCTTCCACCTATCTCTCCTCTAGATGGGCGCTAACGTCAAGGAGTTCTTGCAGCTCGTCGAGGACTTTGTGGACATGATCGGTATGCAGATGAAGGACTTCCAGGACATTTATGAAGTCACAGAGAATTTAGGTGAGCCCCAAATTGTCCCTGCCAGCAGCTCTCTGCTTTACCTTTATCCGGCCACAGAGTGCATCAATCTTAATCATGTCACTGAAGAGAATATCTAGATTAGCAGGGGAAAAAATGATCTGTTATCACTTTGACATTTTTGCAGGCCCGTTTGTAGCTATCCATCTTCTAGATAGCACAAAACCATAGCATCTGAAAAATGTCAAAAATCTCATCAAATCCAATTTTATTCGTCACATGCTTCGTAGACAACAGGTGTTGACTAACAGTTAAATGCTTACTTATGGGTCCTTTTCCAACAACACAGAGTTCAAGATAAGATGTTTTAAAATGTAAATAGTGACACAAGGAATAAATATACAGTGAATAACTAATAAAAATAAAGAGTAAAAATAACATGGCTACATAAAGGGAGTAGAAAATAACATGGCTATATACAGGGAGTACCAGTACCGAGTCGATGTGCTAGATGCAAATATAAACCCCATCCTGTATGTTACCAGTTACGTGGGAGGAAGCTAGAATCAGATTGGGTTTTACATAAGCTCTCAGAAAAGACACATACTTTCCAAACTGTAGAACTCACACGTATTTTTTCTCATTGCGACAGCAATTTCTTGCCATGTCGTTTTAGCAAAGGTGACATTCACAGTCCCAGTTCACACAGGATTCAGCAGCAACTCCTCCAGACAGTTAAAGACATGACACATGACGCATGAAGCCATAGCTGTCCTTGGTTCCTCTTGTTCAGAGTTCAATGAAATGATTCTTCACTTACCAGACCCTAAAGGAGTCGCAGTATCCTATACACACCATGTATTCCAGGGACACTCTTTGACACAACACCTTCCATCTCTTTTTCTCCTCTCCAGTGTTGAGCATCCATAAGCGCCCCACAGCCATGACCACTGACTTCACCTTCCCAGTGAAAGGATGGAGAGGCATGATGGACTGGGTCAGGACCTCAGAGGAGAAGATCACTGTCTCCCGCGACGCTCTGTCCATCGACCAGTCTGGTGAGAATGGCATACTGTATTTAAATAGTGTACATTCACAACCACTGATGCATACATTGTACAAATAGTCTACAGATACACATGTATGTATGTATTTGTATAAAGAAACCGATAGAAGACAGTAAAACAAACAATTCTAGGAAGTCTCAAAACACCTTGAAGCTCTCGTCTGTTCTTGTTGACAGCCACTATTTTCTTCTCTACTTGTGAATAATAATAATAATTGTGTGTTTTGTCTGTTACAGAGGGTACCACTGCATTTGTGACCGGGATCGTTCTATACAGAAACCTCAGCTCTATCCTGTCCTTCCAAAGGTAAGACTTTCCTACTGAATGACTCATACTCTATACTAGTACACTTTTACAGTGCCCTCTTGATACACTTTGGGGAAGGTAGACTTTCCTCCATTGAAACCCAGCAGGCACGGGACTGATTTACAGGCATATGGTTACTCACTGTACAAATCCCATTAAAACCATTTTAGCATTCCACTGAAGTATTCACCGTTGATTGCCAAGGAATCACGTCAAATACTGGAAATACTCCAACAGTACATTACCAATACTGTGCTTTTGTTTGACCAAATGTCCTGTCTCTTCTCTCCTCAGTAACAGCAGCGTACTCAACTCTAAGGTAGTCACGGTTATGGTCAAGCCCACCCCAGGTCTGCTGTCCACCCCAGTGGAAATCGAGTTCCCCCACCTCCATAATGTAAGTTCCCATTGGATACCCACCTAATGGCCCTTTAGAACTACAAATCCCTTATGGGTATTGTATTTTTTTTTAAACAAGCATCTATACAGTACATTAAGTCGCATTAATAAACCTGCGTCATTATGGTAATGAGGAGTGGCCATTTTTAGTCCAGTAGGTGAGGTTAGCGTGAAAGAAACGTTGGATGGTGTTTAGCGCCATGCTGTTGCATCTCACACATATGGTTATAGATGGAGGAATCCAATTGTACATCCCACGCATTTAATTTTTCTTAGATCCTTACCCCGCCTTTTCTATTTTTCCAGGACACCATCAATGAAACTTGCATCTCCTGGGATGAGCGTGAAACGTAAGTGGTGACTAATGTTGTTTACATCCCATTTGTGTATTTACATTCATAAATGTCCACATTTTCATAATTCTGTCAACCCAGTTGGTGATAGTTGATTATTCCTGAAAGCTCAAAGATCCATTCACTCCTGCTTCTATCACTTTATATGAGCATTCACCCTTTAGCTATATAAGTCACTGTGATGCAGTAGTGTTGCATCTCTTGTGATGTCAATCATCTGGACAAGCAGGGACAAAGCATCAATAGACCATGTTGACATGACCCATCTCTCTGGGCTTTAGGGGTAGCAGCCGCTCTTATCCTCAGAGTCCCCTGTGACACCTTTCACTGATCAACAAGTCATCTGGATCCATTCATACCACACTAACTAGACAGGGACACAACACAGAGGCAACATTGATGTAAAGTTTAATTCTGAGTATAGCTAATCATCCAAAGACAATGGCAACTCTTCTTCTCCCATCTCTCCCGTGTCTATTTTGTCATTTTAGAGGTTAATAGAGGTTAACAGGAAGTGACACATTGACTTTTTAAAAGATGTTTAGATGTATTTTAATGCATCATGAATACCCCCCGCAATTCCACTTATTCCCAGCCCTGTATCTATCACCGTGGGGCTTAGGGTGGATCCTAAATGGCACCTTATTCCCTATATAGCGCACTACTTTTGACCAGAGCCCAATAGGGACTATAGGGAATAGGTTGCCATTTAGATTTGTACACTTGTGGAGCTCAGATAAGCACAGCAATGCATTCAGCTGAGGCCCCATCCACATCCACATCCCTTCCCTTCCCACCTGAGAAAAGCAGCCCAAGTCAAAAGAGTGAAGAAAAAAAGAGGAAGAGGAGAAAATGTAATTAACTCATACACTTTCAGAAGGGACGGGGGTAGGAGAAGGGAGGGGGTACATGCCTCCAGCCAAATTAGATTCATTTTAGACAGCGGATGTGATTAATGCCTAGATGGAGGGAGGAGAGGGGGAAATGGTAGAGAGGGAGAGAGGGAGAAGCCCTGGATCAGAGTTTGGGTCAATGTTTATTTTGTGGAGCAGCACTTGCTTGGTTTTGAGGCAGGCTCACTGGGGAAATGCCATTATTCAAGATGTCCATCCATGCCCAACTGTCTATGCTATGCTACAGACACACAGAAGGAACAATGCCTAGTCTACCCTCCACTTCACCTCACAATTTCTAACCCATCTGGGCGATCTGAGAAATCTAACAGGCAAGCAGGCATTAAACTGTCCTGGCAGCAAAGCAAAGTCTCCTCTCCCAATTGACTTTCCTGTTGACTGCAGTGACTACTGCTATTTCCTCATAGTCTCCCTATGATGCTTGAGAGTGTGTGGACTCATGTCTGGGTAGGAGGGCTGGCTGGTGGTGGTGCTCTATTTTAACAGGATCACAGCCTTTCGCTCAGGCAGGCTCACCAGTTTGTGCCCAGGGCCATGGTTCAACACCTCACACCCATTCTCACTCCCTTCTCTCCTCCTGACACTCACATCATGTGAAACACTGCAAGGCGGCAGCATCTGCTGCTGCACAGTGCAGCCAGATAACTTTACCCCCATGTGTCATAATAGGGACTGTGTCACAGAACTAAATGTAGGAAAAGGGATTGTTGCTGTCTGAGATTGTTTATTACAATGTATTTTAGTCATTGATGACAAGACTTTGCCCTTTGTCTCAATACCTAAAACTGGATATTCTGGGATGAAAATCCATAGTGGCCATCTTAACTGAGAGTTAAAATGATACACAGTAGATATTCAAAAGGTTTAGAGAAGATCCTATGGCAGTCATAGAGGTCATGCAGTGAAGCGATTCCCATGCCCACACCATAAAGCCATGCATGATTTAGCAGAAGGGCACCAGTGAAATCCATTCTCCTCCACTGAAACCCCTCATATTTCTTATTTTACTCATACATTTGAGAAAGTCCGCAAGAAAAAATGGATTCTACTGCTGCTTGGAAAAGATGGTCAAGAATATAAATTAGACAGATTATTTTTTATGTTTTTGGTATAGTATTAGGGACAATAAAGTGTTCATCCCATAGCAGGGTCATCATTTCAGGTGTAAGAACTACAATTACAGAATGAGTCCTAGTCACTCATAGTCATTATAACAAAACAGTTTCTCTTGTGAAAGCAACAGGTTTATTCTTATATAATTTACAGTGTAATAAGAATGTATCACATATCATATCAATCCCATTTCAGAAATATGAATTCATCTACATTTCAAATTACCATGCAAAACTGCAAATATTCCCACCATATTTTATGTGGTCTTTTTATAGACTAGGCTACAATGAATCTTTTTGGATAGAGAGGTTGATTTGAGGCATTTCTCAGATAAATGTTTCCTCTCTCATAACCCGCTGTTCCCATTCACTCTCGCCCTGTGCAGTTCTTCGCTGCTTGGATCTTGGTCTGCGCGTAGCTGCAGAGCGGTCGGGGTAGATTCATTCAGAACCAAATGCGTGTGTGACAGGCTCTCCACCTTCGCCATTTTAGCGCGGATAAACCCTGATATGGTAAGTGTTGCCTTTATTTACCTTGTGTTTCTTTAATGTTAACGTTCGTTATGTGTGTGTGATGGAATAATTAAATGTAAACGTAGGCGTTGTTTTTCGAATGGCTCTGTTTCGCGCTGCCACCCTCCCCTTCTTTGTCTCTGTGCAGGTGCCATTGACCATAGATAGGTTTGATAGACTGGTGATTTTAATGATCAGATAAATAACTGTGCAACAAACATGGCGACATTCGATACATATGGAATGCCATTTCTATCAAAATAACGGTCGACAAATGGTAGGCTAATAATAGGCCTAATCGTTACATTTGAAAGATGGTTTTCAATTAGACTTATTTTCTTATTCAAATATGTGCAAATAACATTCCCGTGTGTGCATTAATAATCGGAGGCAATTCTGTGTAATTCTTATCAATTGAATGAAATAGATAAATGAATGTTTAAAAACATAAAGCTAAATATTTTCATTGTAACCTACAAATAGAGTGAATAGCTACAAGCGTCACCTGGAAAATCACATCAGAATTTGTTCGACATATCAGAAATGTGTCTACATTTGTTCTTTAAATCTATTTTTTTTATCAAGATTATTAATTCATGCATTTTAGTTATTCAAATTCATAGGGGGTTGCATTGTATAGTTTTCACAGCATGCATTGACTTGGTGTAACATATACTTTGATTAGGGTATTCATTCTATCAATGAGCAAAGAGCTCTACTGCGCAAAGGCAATGTGTAATTGACCACAGTTTGGATTGTGCCTCCATTGCAGTTCACTCTCTAGTTGCCCTGGTAACGACTTCTGCGGCGCAAACTTGGTCTGTGTGATTTTTTGTAACCCCCCCCCCCACGAACAAAACCAGACTTTCAATCAACAGATGGGTCAGGCTATTACAATTCAGAGAAATGCATGTTTGTCTCAGATCGGTTTAATTGCGCATATGATTACCTTCCATTCCACTGCAAAGATCAGATACTAACCTGTAGTGGGCCCAGCAGAATAGATATACAGCATGTCTAAGCCTATACAAATGCACAGTCAGTCAGTATGCTTGGACTGCATGATTCAATTGCATCCAGCAAAAGATGCTGCCAATCTGAAAATAAGAGATGCAATCTGGGCTTTGTTTGTCTCGAGACCTGTTGTCATCGATTTGATTTGTCTGTTGCTGGTCTGGAAAAGAGAAAGGCAGCTACAGCGCCCCCTGTGTTTGTGAGAAGACAACAAAAGCAGCCACCCCTACTCCCCTATAGTCGACGGCCAGCTACGCCAATCATTTAGTCTGCCAATACTTCTGAATCCTCTATTACACCCCCCCCCATCATCTTCCCTCCCAACCCACCCCTATGGGTCGCATCAAGTCTCTCTGAAAAATGCCAAAGACGCTGGCCAATGAGAGGCAGATGTCTAGTTGTGCATTGATGGTTCCACCCGCCCTACCATCCTTTGATGTGTGCCGTAGACATTTTCAGAGGAGAGGAGAGAAGAGGAGAGCCAGACACTGCAGTTTTTCAGCTCTCATTTGATAAGGTCTGCTTCCTGGACCCTGCACCAATGAGAACGTGTCTTGGACACATGATCAAAGAGGCAGAAGTGGCCCACCTAGTTAGTCAGTGAAGATAACCTTGACCAATGGACCCCAATTAGAGCGATGCGCACTGGGTAATCAATCCCTATCACAAATGAAAATGCACACTTAATAGGCACCATAAAGGACTTTTTTTTCTCCGTCCTGATTTTAGGTTTAGGAGAAAATGGGAACATTGGGATTCCTTCAAGGGCAAAAGCAAGACATGGCTCATATTTAGGTCAAACTCACAGGATGAATTACAGTTTCACTCAGTAGCCAATAGCGAAAGGCAGCATCAACCCAGATATACAGATAGATAGGGAGGGAGACAGTGAAGCTAGCATATTGCTGCCACAGTTATTTTTCTCCCTGGCATTAGCAAAAGGTGGAAGCAAAAGGCAGTTCAGCTCACCCCTCCGCTATCTGCCATCTGGTTTGGGAGTCTCTGATGTAGTTGGATTGATTTCTAAACAAATTTGCTGTGCTAATTTAGTATTTGGCTGCCGTAGGCCCTGGTTTGCCAGCTGTGCTGTGATATGAGGTACGTCCACGCAGAGAGCAGATAGCGATAGAGACAGCCCTCCAAGGCACCGCCTTCATCCCCATTTTACCCTCTCAGACATTATCTGCAATGCCAAAGCAATGTGGCTCTTTGTATTTCCTATGCTACAGACACAACATTTTATGGGTTTATCATAAAAATCCAATGGAGGGCGTAGCCAATTTCATTTTCCTTGCACTTCCTTGCAATTTCATTTTCCTTGCACAGGTTTATCACATTTGAAGCATCGTTCTACTTTTTTTTTCTTCTTCAGCATTTAGCTCACTCCTTAGCCTTTTTTCACCTCTTTATAAGTGCCACAATTCCTAACCCCTATCAAAATGCCTAATTAGACTCTTCGCCTATGAAGGCTTCCACCTTGGGCGCCTGAACATGATTCGACCGCGTCTCATTTGCACCACGGTGATGCAGATTCATCTATGGTGTTAAATTAACTCAACCCCCACAAAATCTATCAAAGCATGTGGACGAAGCCCCAGCCAATTAGCCCCAGCCAATTAGCCCCAGCCAATTTGCTGGTGGGAGCGGGTGGGGGGTACTGGGTCCCTCTCATCACTGTTGGTGCCCTCGTGGCCCCACAGGTGAGTCAGCAGCAGGGCTAATAGGGGTGCGACATCCTCTCCCGTGTGCCCGCCGCTAAGGGTTCAGCGTGCCAGGCCTATCTGAGACACAGGCGGGCACTTCCACTGGCACTAGCAGGGCACTAAGCTGCTGTCAGAGGCGTGGGAGGGCAGGGGGTGGCAGATTAATGCACAGGTGATAACAGCCCACCTATCCACTCCTGCAGGGAGGGGTAATATGACACTAGGCACACACACAGACACAGTAAAAATCCCCTCATAGACAGGCACAACGGCATATAAATCTATGCAGATATCAGCTTGTAAGGATGGCTGGTGATACGTAGAAGATTACCACTGCAGCTATAGCCACCACTGTGGCACCACAATGGCAGGAGAAAATAACAGCAAGCCACCACGCTGAAACGCCTGGGATATTTCTCTCTCTCTCTCTCTCTCTCTCTCTCTCTCTCTCTCTCTCTCTCTCTCTCTCTCTCTCTCTCTCTCTCTCTCTCTCTCTCTCTCTCTCTCTCTCTCTCTCTCTCTTACCCTCTGCTCAGTAGCGGGATATATATGTTCTGAATCCTCCATGCCTCATTTGCTGGTTCAAAAGCTCAATGGGAAAACGCAGTGACCTCGGCCAAGTCTTTGGCTCACCGCTCCATCTTTCTGACACGTTCACCTTGGGGTCACCTTGCCTTAGCCGTGGCCTAATTGTGCCATTCAGCCGTCTGCTGTTCCAGATAGTGCAGCAGAGAGCAGACTCACTGCCAGTGTTTGTGTGTGTTTTCATGCGTTAGCCTTTTTCGTGTGTGTTTGCTGGTGTGCAGCATAGTAAGGGAATGTGTTGTCGTGTCTTGTCTCCTCTACAGAACATGGATAAGAATCTGCTTCCCTCTGTGACGCTCATCGTAGGCTGTGGGGTCTCCTCTCTCACCCTTCTGCTCCTCATCATCATCTATGTCTCCGTCTGGAAGTAAGTGCCCCCTGGAAGCAAAACCACCTTTAGAAATGTCAGTAGTATCATATTTCTTTGTGTGCGCAACACGCTTTGTCTTCCCCCCATTCTCACACTCTCCTTTTCGTCCTCCAGGTATATCCGCTCGGAGCGCTCAGTGATCCTCATCAACTTCTGCCTGTCCATTATCTGCTCCAATGCCCTCATTCTGGTTGGACAAACCCAGGCTCGCAACAAGGTAGGGCACAATTCTAACCAATCCCCACTCTCCTTTTTCTTCTTCTCTATGGCTTTGACTGCTTTGAGGCCTTGAAGATTAACCGCACCACTGACACCATTTTTCTCTCACTCTCTTTCTCTCTTTCCCTCCTTCCTTCAGGTGGTGTGTGGAATGGTGGCCGCCCTCCTTCACTTCTTCTTCCTCTCATCTTTCTGCTGGGTGCTGACGGAAGCATGGCAGTCCTACATGGCTGTCACGGGCCGCCTGCGCAACCGCATCATCCGCAAGCGTTTCCTCTGCTTGGGCTGGGGTACGTACCCTAATAAATGGCTTTCTGTCTGTCACTGCGTCTGTATTTCTGTCCATAGAAATATAATAACTAGAGTGGGCATCCCCATTCAAAGTGTAAATAAAGTAATCATTTGTTTATGACTCTGTCACTGTGTCTATGTATCTGTCTTTCCTCTTCCAGACTTCACCTAATTCCAACCATCTTTCCAACCATGTTTTCCTGTATTTCTGCCATTTATTTCTCATTCAATCCTAACTCTGTTCGTTCTCTCTCCCTCTCTCTTATAGGACTCCCTGCTCTGGTGGTGGCTGTGTCTGTTGGATTTACCAAGGCTAAAGGATATGGCACCGTCAACTAGTAAGTTGAACCTAAATCTGTCTCTTCCTCCCCACCTCTCTCTCTCTTTCTTCCCCCCTCTCTCTTTCTCTCTAACTCCCTTTCTCCAGCTTATGTAATAATTGCTCTTGTTCTGTCTGTTCCCTGTAGCTGCTGGCTCTCGCTGGAGGGTGGACTCCTCTACTCGTTCGTTGGACCCGCTGCTGCTGTTGTTCTGGTATGTATCCATGTATATCTACAATTATTTTAAAATACATAAAAATACTTATTAATGAATGCTTTACCATACATTATCTTATGACATATAGTAGTTAAACCAATTGCTAATCATTGCTAACCATATTGTTTAGCATTGTTAAACCCATTGCTCACTACAATTGTCTTACTCATCGTGTCTTTAACTTCTTTTGAACAGGTGAACATGGTAATTGGTATCCTGGTCTTCAACAAACTGGTGTCCAAGGACGGCATCACTGATGTCAAACTGAAGGAGCGAGCGGGAGCGTCACTGTGGAGCTCCTGTGTGATTCTGCCCCTGCTGGCCCTCACCTGGATGTCCGCTGTCCTGGCCATGACCGACCGCCGCTCCGCTCTCTTCCAGATCCTCTTCGCTGTCTTTGACTCCCTAGAAGGGTTCATAATCGTCATGGTGCACTGCATCCTGCGTAGAGAGGTAAGCACAATGTTTTCAAGTTGAAAGTTATTTTCCTATGTTTTTGTTTGTATTGAAGGGTGTTTCAGAATGTAGCTGACTGTTTGGTCATTTCGCCACCATTCTAATAGGTCCAAGAGGCAGTGAAATGCAGAGTAGTTGACCGTAAGGACGATGGCAATGGAGATTCTGGCAGTTCCCTCCAAAATAGCCACCACACCCAGCTCATGGTGAGTGTCTTTGGTTATGCTTATAGTGTCTTGAATGAAATCGTTATGAATTAATGAATGAATCTTGTGTTTTCAATGTAAATCAGTACTAATTAAACCATCACTTTGTATTTTGTTTTACAGTCTGATTTCGAGAAGGATGCTGACTCCAACAGACCTGGTGAGCCTCTTTCCTTTCATTACTCTCCTAACCATTTTTCTATTCACTTACTTAAATGCCCTTTCATTCCTGGAGGGCATTTATTTGTCAATTTAGAATGAAGATATTTTAGAGGCATGTTGCTACTTAAGGAAAACATTTCAGCAAATCTATTATTTACATTTGACCATCCTTTCAATCAATGTGAATCAACAGACATGCCCAGCATGATTGTACTGTAAGTGCACTCTCTTACCTATTTGCCCCCACCCCTCCTCTCTATTCTAGGTGGTATGAGCTCCTCCTGTGAGGAGAAGATGCCCCTCCCACCTCAGCTGCCTCTCCCCATGAGCTCCAACTTCCACACCCTGCCCTCCCACACCACCAAGGCCCACATGCAGGCCGTGCCCGAGTACTCCAGCCACACCCTCACCCTGAAGAGGGAGAAGAGTCGGCTGCAGGGCGGCATGGACCCGTCCTCCTGCGGGAAACCCGTCTACGTGCGCGACGGCGAGCTCTTCCAGCAGCTGGATGCCGACCTGGCACGTGGCCAGGCGGAGGGAAGCTGCCCCGACGGTAGCAGCTACTTGCTCCTGCCCAACACCACCTCCACCCTTCGCAAGGCCAAAGAGGACCTGTCCAAGTACAACATCAGTGTGGAGAAGCTTCCACAGACCAGGCTGGTTCATCTCAGCGGGCCCTTCGCTGAGCCCCAGGCCGCCTTCGGACTCAAGACGCTACCGTCTGACCGGGTCAGCGTATCCTACTCGGAGAGGGACTCTCCCGTCCAGAACATACACAACATGTCCAGCGAGTCTCACATCACCCACAGCAGCCTAGGAGACACCTTCGACTCCATGAACTCCATGATGTCCAAGAGCGAGACCATCTCCACACTGTCCATGAGCTCCTTGGAGAGACAGAAGTCCCGTTATGCTGAATTAGATTTCGAGGTATGTATCTGTATGTAACCAAGACAATGTTGTTATATAACAAATACTTTATTATCATGTTAATATAACATCTGTAAACTTGTAAAAAACATGTAATAACTTCAAAGAGCTAAATGTAAGCAATCTCAAGTGCATATTTGTATATTAACCAATAATCTGGATAGAATTAATCAGTAGGAAATTAAATGTGTCTAAAATGGGGTTATTTTGTGCCATTTGCTGACCTACTATTCTTATTCCCATGTGTCCTGTAGAAGATAATGCACACAAGGAAACGTCACCAAAACATGTTCCAGGACCTCAACAGGAAATTACATCACGCTGAGAAACAAGACAGAGAGTCCCCTGCTTCAGACAGCAAGGTAAATAATCCTATAGAAATCTATTTTACAGTGTACCTACAGATTCACATACAGTTATTAGTATTTTTATTTAAGATAAATACATCAGAAAAGAAATGGGTAGTCGCTAGGCTAGACAACATTAACAAATAGAGAATGAGAGAGACCATTCCAAGCCATGAAACATCTTTAATCAGATTCGTCATGCAGACATGCTGAGTCTTTATTTACATAAAAGTATTGTTCTGGAAGAAAACTTGACCTCAGCAAACCATATTGACCTCAGCTATCATTGAAATAGCATTAATAGTCTTTTAAGATCAGTTAAATAATTATGTTTTCTTTTATTCTTCCTAACAGTCTGTGAGATGGAGTGTGTCCTCTGGAGGAAGTGACAAAACTAACCACAGCGTGAGTCCTATTACCCATATTGGTCTAACTGACTTAATACGCCTTTTAAGGCATTTTAAATAGGGCATACTCAGCATTGCAATGCACTAGCCCCCCAGTATTAGAGGAACAGTTCGTCCACATTACACAATTACATCATTATTTTTAAGTTATCTTAAAGGTAGTTAATGACTAGTCGATTGACAGTTGATTGATTAAACAAGGAATACTACAATAACTGACCCTTGGTCTGCCTATCAACCAGATTCACAATTTTCATTACAATATAGGTCCAGCTTTATTGCATTGAATGTATCGAATCCAATGTGGGTCTATTGATGATACCAATACTCATGGCCTTCCTCTTTTCACCTTATCAGGACAAGCAGCAGCCACAGGTGGAGAGACCATGGGAGGGGATCCAGAGGACCCAGCACTCTCCCCCCGCCTGGGTGCGGAAGGACCTGGAGCCCCTGGCCGCGTCACCCCTGCATATGCAGCAGGTGGAGTGGGAGAAGGCTGGAGCCACCATCCCAATGGTCAGCCAAGATATCATCGACCTGCAGACGGAGGTCTGAGAGGAGGAGCCTGAGATTGTTCCTTATAGTTCAACCTTGGTCACCTATTCTATTGGTTGGAGGAAAAGAAGAGCCATGGATCCACATGGATAGAGTAGAGGAAGCCAAGAACAAACGAGTGAAGAGAGGAGGGGGAAGAGATAGCTGAGAGAGTGTTGAACCCAGAATCCATGTCTTCAAACCCTCAGAAAGAGAAGGATGGAGAGATGGAAGAAGGAAGGCTATTGTGTTGTGCTGTAGGGATTTTGTTTTCCAGCAAGGACTTGATAATGAGCAACACTAGAGAAGCACTGTGATACTGACTGGCGGTTAATGTCAGTTAGTGACGGATGGTTCCAAGGACTGGTTCTGGTTCTGTTCGCGGTCCGACCACTGAGAGGTTTCTTACCGACTGGGCTCAGGAGAGGTGTGGTCAACATGGTTAACATGCAGTCAACATGCCCCTTTGACTCGTTTTAAAACGGTGGGTCTCACTTTACCCGGGAGCTCCAACCAAAACTAACATTTTTACGCTTGTGTTTGCGGCCAAGGCATCTTCCAAGTTAGCTAGGACAAGGCAAGAGGAGCAGACTGGACTCCCTTCAGACTTGGGGTCTGACTCAATGCTGTGGTTTATCAATCAAGGCTTGATCATGCTAACAGAGCTGAGCATTATTATTGTTATTATTATTATTATTATTATTATCATTATCATGTTATTATTATGATTATTATTATGATTATTACATGTATTATGTTTTATTGTTTTAGCATCGATTTGAGTTATCATCTTAATATCTGTGAATTTACAGTTTTTTGCACTGTACTCAATATATCATTAGGCTCAAATATTTGGAAACCCAAAAGGACTGCAAAGCATTGGGACAGTCAGCGTGGTGGTGGGAACCCAACCCTGGTTCTGCCAGCATTCTGCCTCCGCAGCACATGACAGGCACCTGGAAGAACATCAAGCTCTTTTACAGGAAGAGCAGTACATTCTGGGAACTGCTGGGCGGCATCATCAGGAAATGGTGGACAAAGACCATTAGATTCCCACCACTCCTCAGCTGGTGGCAGAATGCAGGCTCCTCCGGTTCATAATAAACAAGAGCCCCACCATTAGATCTCGTTTCCATCCTGCTACACATGCAGGCTTGCAGAAAGAACTCTAGACCCCAGGACTATAAGCTGAGGCACTTGCCAACGACATGACTTCACTTCCGCAGTGCCAGCTACTAAAGACTTCAACACAACATCCTTGTGTTTTAAAACCATCAGTGTGAAACTAGTACAATATGATGGGCGCTTGATGCTCAAGCAGGACTGATATCAGGATTATAAGGCAGATTTTTCTTAAGATGTTTCAATACTCTTTTATAACGTGTTCCTCATATTTACAGAGCATATAGATACTTTATTGTATAACAAATCTGTATTAGTATTGTGTTCTGAGTGAAAGCGTAAGACTACAAATTATTTGGAGGTCTATGATTGGTAGATTATTGTAATTCTAAAAAACAGATGTTATATAGAATTAATAATAGCCTATAAGAATATATCTAAAAATCTGTGCTTCAGGATAACTGTTTTGACTCCATACCTCACGGTGTGGAATAACTGAACCTCATGTCTTCTGTAATAGTGTTTTTCACCATCTTGTCATATTACACTACAGTATGTGCCAAATATCTTTCCTGTCCCCTATTTCTTCCTTCCTAGCCATAGCTCCCAATACATACCCCCCGGGTTACTTGTATCAATTACCCATTTGTATCTACCCTTCCTCTTTGCTTTTTTGTTAGAATACAACTTTTTTGGTTTCTCTTGTTGTAAATGTACAGTTTTCAGAGCACAAGATGAATGTGATTTTTGTTCTAATAAAATTTAAAACATATCTATATGAGCTGTCCTTGTTGGTGCCTGTTGGCAATGGCATGGTCTTAATTATTTACCAGGATAAATTAAATAATTTAGCTGGATCTGGCACTCCGCAACCCTTCATCTGTACTGTATAATCACACCCCTACTACAGCAGGGTGATATGGACAACATTCCATGTTATGATATATTGGCTGAATTATCACAACGATAAATAGAATGATAAACGGCCCAGCTCTAACCTCTGCTACCAAATAGTTCAACTCTATATCTCATTTGTATATGATATTTGAAAGGTTAAGGAAGTTTTATTTTAGTCAACCACAACACCAATACACCATTTGGTCATACTACTTATATCACAGACCATCATCCACCATGTTCTGTGATGGTGCTTCAAGCTGAATTAGAGTTGAGCTTCATTGTAACTGATGTGGTACTACTATATATGCCAAGCACCAGATCAAGTAATATTATAGAAATAGGACAATAGTGCAATAAGTAAGAGAGGGAACTAAATAAAATGGATGCCGATTTAGTTTGTCGCATAGCTTTTATAACCATGTCACACTACAGCCTCTAGTATCATTTGGGTCCCTAAATATAGAACCAAGTCTCAGGTAAAAAAGAAATCTGCAAGATGATAAAAGTGTGCTGCTCCATAGTTCTATTTTTATAAGAGAAATAAGCTTTGTGCCAAGTTGATGTGACCCATTCCAGAAATATGAAAATCAACACAGAGAAAATCTATATTATTATGCGGGAGAAGCCAAAATAGCATATTGTCCTTTTTCAAAAATACAACCCATTTCCAACAACCCAAATGTACTATCCAGTTTATCAATCTACAGTATTGTCACTTTCTGTTGCCTCCTGTTTGATATCTGAATTCCTGAATTCTGAGTACATGAATTTTAATTGAACACATCTAATTCTGCTCTAAGGCATAAGAACGAATAGATTTGCATTATCTGTCTCTTGAGCTTAGCTGGTTTGGTTGAGAGCTCTATGCTTTAGGGGCCCTGTTCCACTGACCGAATTAAAGACGAAGTCATTTGCCATTTCAAACAGGGTCTTTTGATATTGCGACCCTCTTAAAGTAATAGGCATTCAGCCATGCATATGAGCAATTGATTTTGGTATAAGACAGGAATCAGGAACTGAACCCACGACTCTGGCATTCCTAACACCATGCTCCTACTGTACCAAATGACTCACACAGGAACAGGTGTTGCCTTAAGGCAGGGCTATATGCTTAGGGTTAGGGTTGTGGTTGAGGGTTAGGGTTGAACTGGGATGTGGACAAGATGATAGGGTTAGGGTAAGGGCTAAAGTTAGGTTAGGGCTAAGGTGTTTCTCAGGTATTTCACCATATATTATTTAAAAGACGTGGAAATCAAAATTATCTATAAATTGATCTATTAGGTGTGCATAGGCGTGCCCCTTTAACTTGCTGCATTCTGATTTAATTCATTGTTTGCTTATTGGAAAATATTAACACAATGTCCCCATAGGACTCCAGGTAGATTGGTTGTCTCTTGTCTATGAGACTCCACCCAACAACAAAAACAAGTGACAACAACAATGAGATCCAGATGCGACATCATGCTTGTCATCACCATCAATGCCCCACTGCTAATAACATCCTAAAGCCCTCGGATGCCACTCTTCTATTCGTTCCTTACCTCTATTCTTGTGAGATCCAGTATCAATTAGCGCCTCGCTGGCAATAACAACGGGATACGGGGGGCTGTCACTTAATTGAAGGCTGTTGCCATGGAAACTGCAGAGGCTACTCCTGGGGATTGGTGTTGAAGTAGACACAGCCTGCATCCCAAATGGCACCCTATTACCTTTGTAGTACACTACTTTCGACCAGATTCCTATGGGCCCTGGTCAAAAGTAGTGCACTATATAGGGAATAGGGTATCATTTGGAATGTAGCCAGAGACAGCTGTGGTGGTGGCTCCAGGAGGCTTTTAGCGGAGCGGAGAGTGGAGGAGAGGAGACACTACTGGTTCTTTCTGCAGGCAATCCTGTTCCTGCCTAATGATTGTCAGCACTAATAATGTAATGAGATTGTCAAGTGTAAATGTCCTCTGAAGATGGCTCTAGTCTGTAATGCATTTGGCTCCTTCTGGTGCTTTACATTGTCTCCCATAATCACTCTGTAGACTTGAGAGGAGAATGAAAAGAGAAGGAAAGAAATAAGGGGTAGCACTTTACTGTATGTATGCATTCATGAAACCTTTGTAACAGCTACATAACATATTATAACATCCAACATAGCCAGTCATAAACATTATGAACAGCGGATGAAGGTGTTATGAAGCTGACAGCAAAGTGTGAGCCATTATTGATGAACTCTGTAGACTTGAGAGGAGAATTTAAAAAATGGAAAGCAACACTGATTAACCTTGTGTTACCCTGAATTAGAGCATATTCCTGTGCATGTTGGAGTGCATTCAGAAAGTATTCAGACCCCTTTACTTTTTCCACATTTCGTTACGTTACAGCCTTATCCCTCATCAATCTACACACAATACCCCATAATCACAAAGCAAAAACAGGTTTTTAGATATTTTTGCTAATTTATAAAAAATAAAAAACTGAAATATCACATTTACATAAGTATTCAGACTCTGTACTCAGTACTTTGTTGAAACACCTTTGGCAGTGATTACAGCATTGAGTCTTCTTGGGTATGATGCTACAAGCTTGGCACACCTGTATTTGGGGAGTTTCTCCCATTCTTCTCTGCAGATCCTCTCAAGCTCTGTCAGGTTGGATGGGGAGCGTCACTGCACAGCTATTTTCAGGTCTCTCCAGAGATGTTCGATCAAGTTAAAGTCTGGCTGGGCCACTCAAGGACATTCAGAGACATGTCCCGAAGCCACTCCTGCGTTGTCTTGGCTGTGTGCTTAGTGTCGTTGTCCTGTTGGAAGGTGAACCTTCGCCCCAGTCTGAGGTCCTGAGCACTCTGGAGCAGGTTTTCATCAAGGATCTCTCTGTACTATGCTCAATTCATCTTTCCCTCAATCCTGACTAGTCTCCCAGTCCCTGCGGCTGAAAAACATTCCCACAGCATGATGCTGCGACCACCATGCTTCACCGCGTAGGGATGGTGTCAGGTTTCCTCCAGACGTGACACTTGGCTTTCAGACCAAAGAGTTCAATCTTGGTTTCATCAGACCAGAGAATCTTGTTTCTCATGGTCTGAGAGTCTTTGGGGCCTTTTGGCAAACTCCAAGCGGGCTGTCATGTGTCTTTTACTGAGGAGTGGCTACCATCTGGCCACCCTACCATAAAGGCCTGATTGGTGGAGTGCTGCAGAGATGGTTGTCCTTCAGGAAGGTTCTCCCATCTCCGCTGAGGAACTCTGGAGCTGTCAGAGTGACCATCGGGTTCTTGGTCACCTCCCTGACCAAGGTCCTTCTCCCCCGATTGTTCAGTTTGGCCGGGCGGCCAGCTCTAGGAAGAATCTTGGTGGTTCTAAACTTCTTCCATTTAAGAATGATGGAGGCCACTGTGTTCTTGGGGACCTTTAATGCTGCAGAAATGTGTGCCTCGACACAATCCTGTCTCGGAGCTCTATGGAGAATTCCTTCGACCTTATGGCTTGGTTTTTGCTCTGACATGCACTGTCAACTGTGGGACCTTATATAGACAGGTGTGTGCCTTTCCAAATCATGTCCAATCAATTGAATTTACCACAGGTGGACACGAATCAAGTTGTATAAACATCTCAAGGATGATCAATGGAAACGGGATGCACCTGAGCTCAATTTCAAGTCTCATAGCAAAGGGTCTGAATACC